GGCATCAATCAAATGCTGAAGTTAGGGCTGAAGTGTTGTCCCAGAAAAAGACTGAGCAAAGCATCAAGATGAAATAGGAAGTCAAAGAAGAGGTTGAGGGGTACAATAGCAAGATGAAGTGAAGATTCAAAGGAGACAGAGGGAACCATGAAGATTGAGAAGACTAACTGGGATAATGAATGGTTGCCAAACCATCATCTAGTAAGGTTCATTTATACATATGGATAAAGTTGACACGTTCTACATTATAGAGGGTAGGACTATGTGGTGCTTTGGATTTGATTCTAAAAAGGTGCTTCAGTGCTCTTGGAAGTGTGAATGTAGTACTTGTTTTCTACTCTTTAAAGCAGCTAGGTCTTTTGCTGGGCTCATATGGCAGCTTTAGCATATGCATCCTTTGGAGGGCACAAGGCAAGTGACCAAGTGTGCTCATGACATCATGACCCAAATCCTATGACTTATGCATTGTGTCTAGCATCAGGGTGCAAGTATGAAAGGGTGGGACTTGTGCTGTGATTTTACTGTATGCATATCATCATTTTTCATTATCATGACTGGGTATGGCAACCTATGGAGGGCAGGTGAGTATCTGCAGATATCTACTGTAAAACTGGCTTTCAAACATCTGCACATATTAAGGCTTATAAAATATCTAATCTAGGCAGCACTATCCACTTTTCAACATCACTTTTTTATGTTTGCAGGTGTTGACAGCTACTAACCAAGAGATAATGAGCAAACTGTGACCATCTTCAATAGATACTGAGCTATCACTTACAATATGACCTAGGACTAAGATTCAAGCCTGCTTTGTATCAGAAGATTGCCCTTTCAGACAAAAAGATATGGCAAGATGACAATAAAAATGCTGATTTGACGTGTGCTATGTAGTGTATGTTTCAGATGATTTAATAACTGAATGCCGATATCAGCAAAGCACCAATCTCTTTCACATTCACAAAAGTAAATTATTACAAGGCAGTATAGCACTAATAAACCCTCTACTTTGAAAAGGACTGACAATTTTTTATTACCTGTTGCCAGGGATATATTCAGCATAGGGAAAGAAAAGGCTAGCTGCAAGCTGAAGCATAATCAAAATAAATGGGCAGACACTTGAATAAGACTTACATATGCTAACTTACATATATGAATACAAGTTTAGATATCCATGATATAACTGAAATAGAAATAAATACAACTTACTGAAATGGGAAACACTATGTTCAGATGACTTTTTTATCTGGTTAACTAATTGCTGATAGACAACTGCTTTCTCTTTTTTACTCTGGTCTTGAAACACACCCTGTCTTTTGTAACAGTTATTGAAACAGAAGATTGCCTTCTAAAGAGAGAGACAAGGCACCTTGGACATTTAATTAATCAGCCAGTTTGATGCTGCCTTATCTCAAAAGACTTAAAGTACCTTTTTTTTTTTAATCTGCACTCAGTCGTTACTGACTCTGCAGTGACTGCTTTTTGGACGAGTTCTTTGCAGTTTTCAAGGCAAGGTGTTTCGGAAGTGGTTTGTCAGTGCCTCCTTCTTAGACCAACCGAAAAAATAACTTATCCCTCGTTTTCTGTAGCGCCTGCCAGCAGTGCTCCCCCATCCCCCTGCACTCCTTGTCTGAGACTCCCGCCTCTTCCCGCTTAACGACCCGTGTGGTCCTGGGGTTACAACAGCAACCAGAACTGCCAGGATTGCCATCACTAATCAACACAGTCATGTGACATCGCACTTAATAACCGCATTGCTTAGGGACGAAAATTCCACTCCCAATTGCCTTCCTAACCAGTGGACTACCTGTATCCAGCAATAGGATAAGAATTAATAAGACCAGAAACAATAGGTGGAAACTTCTAATTACCTTGTAAATGAGGCTTGGCGGGGATGGAGGGGGGGCATGATTTCCCTGCTTTACAGGTAGTCCCCGGGTTAATAATGCCCAGGTTACCGACAGCCCATAGTTAAGAACGGAACCTATTGTAGCAAAATTTCAGTTAAATACACAATGGTTCGAGTTCATTACACAATACTACTTATACAGTATTGTGTACTGTATACAGAATACGATTGTTCTGGCTTATGCACAAATTTGACTTAAGGACAGACCTTGGGAACGGAACTCGTTCTTAAACTGGGGGCTACCTATATTCATGTCCAGATGACACTGCTTTCAAATGAATCTTTTAATGTACAGCAGTTTCACAATTCATCTGGATCAGATTTTAAGGCAGAAATATGTCACAGTATACATCTTCAAAGAGATTAGAATTTACTCTCAGAGGTTTTGTGGATAGTGGCTTTAATATTAGCAGTAATACTCCTTAGAGCCTCTCCTGAACATCCAAATAACCACAAATACTCACAAATCCAAATAACGAACTAAGTGAATTTCTAACCAAGATTTATTGCAGGTTACAAGTTCTGGTTTCTATTAATCCAACACAGCAGCTACTCTGAATTCAACAAGTCAGTATTCTAGATAGACTAAAGTACACACAA